TGATGTTTTTTTTTTTTTTTCATATAATGAAGTCAATGGGGTCCAATGTTGTTTTGTATTTTTTACTGAAAAATTAAAAAGTCATTAAGGTTTGGAACAAGGGGTGAATAAATGACTATTCATGAACTATTCCTCGGTTCACCCAAAAATGAAGATGCTCTCATCATTTACTCACCCTCATGTCTTTCCAAACCTGCATGACTTTCATTCATCTTTGAAATGCAAATGAAGAATTTTAATGAACCTGGGAGATTTTTGTCCCTAAACATTTAGGCTTCAAAAAAACATCGTAAAAACAATCCACATGATTAATCCAAGTTTTCTGATGAAACATGTTCGCTTTATAGATTTAATTTATGCTTTTATTCACACATAAACATTGATCGACACATACATTGAGCACATCAAAAATGGTCAATGAAAGCTCAACTGAACTTGCTTTATGCATGAGAACCAGTGAGTTTTGTTTTAGTTAGTCATGCAAGCACTTGAGTGACTCTTCAGAAGACTTGGTTCAAAGATAAAATGAGTTCATAAATGTATTCGAACTGTAAGTACTACCCAATCCTCACATCTGGAGAGTTAGGAATCACAGTCTTGTCTGTATCATCTGGGTGTTTCTCTCACGTCTGTAACCTCCGTTTGCGACGCTGTCGGCGGCCTTGGTCTTGAATGTCCACTGGAGGGTCAGGGGTCAGAAAGCCGTCACACAGTCTCTGATACACCAGAGTGGAGTCCGAAGCCACTGCACACAAGAGCATCGGGGCACCTCTGTCCAATATACACCGCAACCTGTGAGAGACAGAGGAAAAAAAATCACAATCATATGTGTTAAAGCATAATCACATTAAGGCTTATAAGGCAGGTATGAGACCTTGTTTCAACTTAAGTCATGTGTCCTTGCCAGATACCATCTTAACAACACCTTATGTTCGGTAATATTTGTTAGCGATATGAGATGTATATGCAAATCTGATGTATGAAAATTAGTTTTATGACCTTTTTAACTTTTTAAGTGTATATTAATGCTGTTAGGCATTATTAGTCAAGGGTTATTATTATAAAGCACTACCATACATTCCTTTTAAAATAGTGTAGTTATAAATGTCACATTTTATGAGGCAAATATGTGAAAGCTGCTGCAAGCTTTTTTTTTTTTTTTGAATACCCAAGAAATACCATAGAAACATATTTCCTGCAAAATTGCCCTTTAGTAAACAGAAAAAAAAACAGGTCCGTCTTGAGTGCTTTAGCCAATCAGAACATAGATGTAGTTCTCAGACAGTCCTTAGAAGCCACTAACCAAACAGCTGCAAAGCAAATCACAACATTACAAACTTGTTTAATTAAAGGGGTCATATGCTGCGATTTAAATTTTTCCTTTCTCTTTGGAGTGTTACAAGCTCTTGGTGCATAAAGAAGATCTGTAAAGTTGCAAAGACTAAAGTCTCAAATCCAAAGAGATATTCTTTATAAAAGTTAAGAGTTAGCAGAGTCAGCCTAAAACGGCTCGTTCTAACACGCCCCCACATGTCTACGTCACTATTTGGGCGGCGTTATGGGCGTTATGCCACATCTTCACGCAAAGAAAGAAGGCGTAACTTTTATTCTCACTGTAGTATGTTGCCGCTGCCGCCATGTCCTGAAGACGCTGTGTGCTTCGTTGTGAAAGCGAAACTACTTTGTTTGG